CTAAGAGCAATGGTTAAAGACATCACTGTTCAACTAAAAACTCCAAGAAAGTCTTTTCTCAAAATAAAACTGTGAAAGGACTGCAAATTAATTTTATAAATAGAAAAAGAATGAACCAGTCTCTGACTATAAGGTAAGATTAAAAGCACTGTTTGTAATACATTCTGGTTTATGCTTGTTGAGCCCAGACATAGAAAATGCTTTTTCTGCCCTCTGTCTTAATAGGTTTAACTCTGAATTCAGTAATCTAGTTAAAAAACACAAACTAGGCCGGGCGCGGTGGCTCAAGCCTGTAATCCCAGCACTTTGGGAGGCCGAGGGGGGTGGATCACGAGGTCAAGAGATGGAGACCATCCTGGTCAACATGGTGAAACCCCGTCTCTACTAAAAATAAAAATAAAAAAAAAAGTAGCTGGGCATGGTGGCGCGTGCCTGTAATCCCAGCTACTTAGGAGGCTGAGGCAGGAGAGTTGCCTGAACCCAGGAGGCGGAGGTTGCGGTGAGCCGAGATCGTGCCATTGCACTCCAGCCTGGGTAACAAGAGCGAAACTCTGTCTCAAACACACACACACACACACACACACACACACACACACACACACACACACACAAACTAGGTTGGGAAGACACTGATGTAGCCAAAATATGCCTTTATAGCATAATGGCTAACTCTAGTTCATTATTCTGAGAACTTTTTATAAGAAAAAGTTGCATCGAATCTCCATGCATAGGGGATCCTCCCTCCTTGAGCCTGGACTAAAGTCAGAGAAACTCTTACAGTGGAGAAAAAGCATTGGCTTAAATCTGCATAGCGAGCCTTGTGTTTATGTTTAAGGTGCTTTTCAAGATCATGTTGTCTTAATGGACTTTTACCCACACCTTTACTTATTTCAGGAAATGATAGAATTTAGATCTGAAATGTTCTGTGCTTTTTAAATGTCAGTTCTCTACCTTATCATGCCTAAATGCCATCCCTTTAGAAATGCAAAATGAGAGTAGCCATCTGTAGATGGTTATTTAGAAATGGAAGGAATAAAATGGACATTAATTGGGTTAAAACAAAAGTTTTAATACGACATTACCAAGGGATGGATGGACCAAAGGGACATGTCAGCTGGTTCCCTAACATTAAAGGATGTTAAGCAAGTCTCCCCTACTTATCCATTGGGAGAATTTTTTAAGCTGGATGGCAGAGATTACAATGAAACCTGACTTACAACCACTTGAGGCAATGGTCAGGTAGTTTAATCAAGATAAAGACTGACAAAAGAACAAGGGTCCTTTGGCTCAACTCACTGTTAGGGACTCAAAGTCTTTTGCATAAGAGTAGGTAAAATGGTCAGGGTGAAAGAAGTTTCCAGACTCCTTGATATGGGAGCCCCATGTGCTATGGTGCCAATATCTATTGTTAAAGCCCTGACTTGGGCTACAATTTGATTGAGAGAACATAAAAATGCAAGGATTGAGAGGTTTCAGACTAGAGAATTTCTATTTGAGGGACATTAAAGCTGCCAAGTCACATTTCCTCAGACTAAGGAAAGTCTGTACAGTCTATAATGTCCAACAATGGGCAGAAATAGCCAAGTCAGAGAAATACTTTGGTAGAGAAAAGGAAAGTTGGAAGATTTGTAGTCTGAAAAGGAAGAGTGGGGAACAATTTGCAAACTGGCAAACAAAAAAATCTTAAAGGTCTGTTTTAGCCATCTGAGTGAATAATCTTGTTCCACTGGCTAGAAATATAATTTGGATCCAGATATGCATGTTTTTATGAATGAGTAAGTTTTGTGTCTTACTGTATCGGGCACATGGCTAAAATCATAGACTACAAACTGCAAGATCTGCTTCTGTGTATGTTGATGTACATATGTACATATGCCTTGTAGTACATATGTATGTTTGTATGTTATATACACAAAATATTTTATTTTATTTTATTTTACTTTAGGTGCCTACTATATCTGGCATTTCTTCCCATGTTATCCCTCCCCACACTCCCCACCCCCCACTGTCTCTCCCCTACCCCTCCCAACTGCCCCCAGTGTGTGATGCTCCTCTCCCTGAGTCCATGTGTTCTTATTGCTCAACACCAACCTATAAGTGAGAACACGCAGTATTTGGCTTTCTGTTCTTGTGTCAGTTTGCTGAGAATGATGGTTTCCAACTCATCGTTTTTTTTGACTGTGTAGTATTCTGTGGTGTATATGTACCACATTTTCTTTGTCCAGTCTATTATTGAGGGGCATCTGGGTTGGTTTCAGATCTTTGCTATTGTACATAGGGCTGCAATGAACATACGTGTGCATGTGTCTTTATAGTTGAACGATTTATAGTTCTTTGGGTATATATCCAATTATGGGATTGCTGTGTCAAATGGAATTTCTATTTCTAGATCCTTGAGAAATCACCACCCTGTCTTCCACAATGGTTGAACTAATTTACACTTCCACTAACTGTGTAAGAGTGTTCCTATTTCTCCACATCCTCTCCAGCATCTGTTGTCTCCAGATTTTTAATGATTGCCATTCTAACTGGCGTGAGATGGTATTTTAATGATTGTCATTCTAACTGGCGTGAGATGGTAGTTTTGATTTGCATTTCTCTAATGACCAGTGATGATGAGCATTTTTTCATGTTTGTTGGCCTCATATACGTCTTCTTTTGAAGTGTCTGTTCATATCCTTCACCCACTTTTGAATGTTTTTTTTTTCTTATAAATCTGTTTTATTTCTTTGTAGATTCTGTATATTAGCCTTTTATCAGAAGGGTAGATTGCAAAATTTTTTCCCCATTCCATTGATTGCTGGTTCACTCTAATGATGGTTTCCTTTGCTGTACAGAAGCTCTGAAGTTTAATTAGATCCCACTTGTCTATCTTGGCTTTTATTGCCATTGCTTTTGGTGTTTTAGTCATGAGGTCCTTGCCTATGCCTATGTCCTGGATGGTTTTACCTACGTTTTCTTCTAGTGTTTTTATGGTATTAGGTTTTATGTTTAAATCTTTGATCCATCTGGAGTTAATTTTAGTGTAAGGTGACAGGTAGGGGTCCAGTTTCTGCTTTCTGCACATTGCTAGTCAGTTTTCCCAACACCATTTATTAAACATGGAATCCTTTCCCCATTGCTTGTTTTTGTCAGAGTTGTCAAAGATCAGATGGTTGTAGATGTGTGGTGTTGCTTCTGGGGCCTCTGTTCTGTTCCATTGGTCTATGTCTCTATTTTGGTACCACTATCATGCTGTTTTGATTCCTGCAGCCTTGTAATATAGTTTGAAGTCCAGCAGTGTGATGCCTCAGCTTTGTTTTTTTGCTTAGGATTGTCTGGGATATGTGGGCTCTCTTGCGATTCCATATGAAGTTTAAAGTGGTTTTTTTCCAGTTCTGTGAAGAAGGTCATTGGTAGCTTGATGGGGATAGCGTTGAATCTATGGATTACTTTAGGCAGTATGACCATTTTCATAATATTGATTCTTCCTAACCATGAGCATGCAATGTTTCTCCATCTGTTTTTGTCCTCTCTAATTTCGGTCAGCAGTGGTTTGTAGTTCTCTTTGAAGAGGTCCTTTACATTTTTTTGTTAGTTGTATTCCTAGGTATTTTATTCTCTTTGTAGCAATTGTGAATGGGAGTTCACTCCTGATTTGGCTCTCTGTTTGTCTATTATTGGTATATAGGAATGCTTGTGATTTCTGGACATTGATTTTGCATCCTGAGACTTTGCTGAAGTTGCTTATCAGTTTGAGAAGATTTTGGGCTGAGACGACAGGGTCTTCTAGATATACAATCATGTTATCTGCAAATAGAGACAGTTTGACTTCCTCCTTTCCTAATTCAATGTACTTTATTTCTTTTTCTTGCCTAATTGCTCTGGCTAGAACTTCCAATACTGTATTGAATAGGCATAGTGAGAGAGGGCATCCTTGTCTAGTGCCAGATTTCAAAGGGAATGCTTTCAACTTTTGCCCATTCAGTATGATATTGGCTGTAGGTTCGTTGTAAATAGAATGATTATAAACGAAAGGACAAAAACAAGTATTAGCAAAGATGTTAAGTGATTAAAACTCTCATATATTGCTGTTGGTAACAAAATATGGTATAGCCACTTGCAAAGTATTTTGTTCACCTTGTAAGTCCCACCACAGCAAAGGACCTGTAAGACAATACAGCCCTTCTTTTCAATATGAAATGACTAGACATTTGAATAAAATGTTTAACATTAAATGTAGGTGCCAAAAACAAGGATATAATACCGAAAGTATCTATGTTGAGAAATGAAGTACTGAAATAAAGTTTTAATACTGTCTTCAGGGAGGCAAAGAAGATTTTTGAATGCATGAAACGAGAATAGAAAGCTCTGGAATGAATATAGAAAAACACAATGCAAAACTCCAAAACACATTAAGAAAACTTCATATATTTTTTTAAAGTTGGAAACTTGCCTATAAAATAAAGGGAAAAAAATGAAAAAAAAAATAGAGTTATTTTAGGAGTTCTAAATTTCAGATAGTTTTAATTTAATTTGTGAGGAAATCTTGAAAGACATAACATTTTGAATAATTAAAAATAAACGTATTGATCACTTATTTTACCCAAGTTTAAAATATTTATCACTAAAATAGTTTATCAGCACATTTTATCCCCAATATAAATCATTATTTTCCTGTCTACCTTATTTCTTTTTGAATAATATCCAAACTGTCAAGCATTACTTTTAAAAATCAATATAGTTCTAGAACACACACAAGTTGCTATAATAATTCCAAAACTATTTGTAAACTGTTATGGAGGTAGCAATTATTTTCTTTACATCGTTATTTATAAAACTGAACACTATATACAATTTGATTCTCCATTTACTGCTGATACTAACAATTTAAAGTCCATTAAGGCAGAGCTAAGGCAAAATTATCATTAATTCTCTTCTGCTAAAAAGGTATTCTGAATTATTATTACAATCCCTCATTGCAAATATCAAGTGACATAAATAAATTAGAATATACTTACCAATTGTTTTTCAACTACAACATGCATTTCTATATACTTTGCAAAATCTGGTTGTGGCTGAAAAAATCCACAAATGTTGCATCAAAATTATAGAATTACTTAAGTATTTTTAGTGCATATCACTACTATTAATGAACTAAATATTGAAAAACACAATTTTACATAGAGAAATAAAACCAGATAATATAAGCAAACTAGATATAACAAAATCTTTTTTAAAATCTATTTTCTTTGTCATTTCTCTGCACCTAATCAATTACTTAATTTACTTGGGAAACAACTTTTCTATGTCTTTCATTCTCCGTATTTTCTTTGGTACGAAGCTATTCATATTATTCTCTCTTTTTAAATAAATCTATCAGTTCACCATTGCAAATGCATGTGGTTCTATCACCTTAGTGATGCTATTATTACATTTCTGTGTGGTATGGTCTTAGATATGATCCCCAAAAAGTAAGGACATATCTCTGTGTTTAGAGAATGAGATTTCATCTAAAGGATACAGCTAATCCTTGTATCAGACACAAATGCCATGGCTTACAGAGTTTGAACTCTGGTTTAACTTTTCTGTGACTTAGGTTTTGCTTAAAAATGAGGATAGTTATTGTTGTAATGATTGTTATGAAAAATGTTATCTGTTTTCATCTCTATTGTTACACAAAAGAAACTTTTAGAAGAAATACACTAGAAAAAAAATTGTAAGATAGACTTTCCAAGCCCTTTGATACCATAATGTAGAAAATGCAGTATTTTGTTGCGAAAAGACCCATGCCACCTAAGTGCACTAGACAAATATCTTGACATAGAGTAAGTGGATCAAACATCAGAAACTGAGGAAACTTGTATTATGTTTAGTTTATCTGCAGTTTTTATTTTTTTACATAGGTATTAATAACTTTTTGGAAGTTCAGAACAATTTCATTTTAGTTAAAAATGTTTTCCTTAAGAAAACCAATAAAGAAGAATAAACAAATTCGGGATTTGAGTAGCAATCAGAAAAGTGATGGTGACAGTAACTAAAAGGTTTTTTAAAAAAGTTGAGAAATATCAGTAAGACAAATTTAGAGCTTATTCCTCACAATTTTACCCATTTAAACTTCTCTCTCCTGGCCCAAATCTTGAAGATTTAAAGATTTTATTTTTAAAAGGCAGATGAAATCTGGTCCAACTGGTTTCTCACCATTTTCATCAGCCTTAAGCATTGATTGTTTCACGGTTTTAATGGGAACTTAAAATCTTTTAGTAGTTAGGCTCCATCATTTCGTTAAAGTCCCTAAGCAAGATTGCTTTACTTTATTTAAATATTGAGAGAAAACACTGTATTAATGGATTGGAGGATTTAAAAATCTTTGTTCTAACCAACACTAAATGTTAGCTGTCAAACAGTCCCTGAAATAATCTTTGCTCTTTTTTTATCTTTGAGATTGGGATTGGTGATACTTAATTGAATAATGCATTCATTTATTTATTAAAAAATAATCTTGTTCAGAGAAAAAATATGTAGTCCATTTTAAGCAAATATATAAAATGGAATATATGAGGTCAGGTGTGGTGGCTCATGCCTGTAACTCCAGCACTTTGAGAGGTCAAGGCAGGATAACTGCCTGAGCCCAGGAGTTCCATAGCAGCCCAGGCAACATAGCAAGACTACTCTCTACTAAAAAATAATAATAATAACTGGGTCTGTGTTCCCAGTACTTGGGAGGCTGAGGCTGGAGAATCACTTGAGCCCAGGAGGTTGAGGCTGCAGTGAGCTACGATTATGCCCCTGCACTCCAGGCTGGGTAACAGGAACAAGAAAAAGAAGTGAAGGGAAGGGAAGGGGAAGGAAGAAGAGGGAGGGGGAAAGGGAAGGGAGGGGAGGGGAGGGAAAGAAGAGAAGGGAAAAGAATACAGATGCATAAGACAATGGCAGGAAATGCGTGTGTTGAAATGGTGTGGGGGGGAGGGAAAGAAGAAAAATACACAGATGCATGACAGAATGCCAGGAAATGTTTGTATTGAAAAGGTGAGCAGATGCCAATTTTAAAAATCCACAGGCCAGGCGCAGTGGCTCACACCTGTAATCCCAGTACTTTGGGAGACCGAGGTAGATGAATCACTTGAGGCCAGGAGTGCAAGAACAGGCTGGCCAACATGGCAAAACCCCGTCTCTACTAAAATATAAAAAATTAGCTGGGCGTTGTGGCTTGTGCCTGTAATCCCAGCTACTCAGAAGGCTGAGGCAGGAAAATCATTTGAACCTGGGAGGCAGAGGTTGCAGTGAGCCAAGATCACACCACTGCATTCCAGCCTGGGTGACAGAGTAAGACTCTGTCTCAAAAAATAAAAATAAAAATAAAATAAAATCCAAAACGCCACTAGGTTCTAGAATCTTTTTGTTCAGAATTATGAGGATGGAACTCAAGTGAGAGCAAATAATAGATATTCGGATTTAGGAATTAAATGTTTTAATGCTGGAAGTAGGAGGAGGACCAAATGAGGCTAGCAAATAAAATGAAATAGAAGGTCTAGGAGAGGTAGGAATACAGATGGTTGAGGACCATGATTTCCCCTTCACTCTACATTTTCAGGTGTTTTTTTCAATATGCTTATTTGTTCATTTTTGTAAATAAACTTAATGATCAACTTGTTAAGTACTCCCTGGTAGGTTAATGCCTTGAAAAAAATAAATAAGGTATAAAAGAAGAAAGAATAAAGGAATAAGGAACATATAAGACAAATAAGAAATGACAAGGTGGTAGATTAAATCTAAGTTATAGAAGTGTGTGCATTACAAGTAAATGCAATAAATAACCTTGGCTACTAAAATAGTTGAGCTCACAGAAGTAGAGAGTCACGTTGTGGTCATAAGAGGATAGGAAGTGTCAGGTGAGGAGAGGATGGGGAAAGGTTGGCTCTTGGTTATGCAAGTACAGTTAGATAGAAGGATTAAGTTCTAGTGTTCTACAGCACCACAGGGTGACTATAGTTAACAGTAATTTATTATATATTTTCAAGTAGCTTAAAGATGGAATTTTGAGTGTTCCCAACATAAATAACATAAATAAATGCTAAATGTTTAAGGTAATAAATATGCTAATTACCCTAATTTGATTATTACACATTTTATTCATGTATCAAAATATCATTCTGTATCCCATAAGTATGATTATTATCTGTCAGTTAAAAATAAAATTGTCAGGTCTGATTTAAAATGTTTAAAAACTTAGTAGCCAGGTACAGTGGCTCATGTCTGTAATTCCAGCACTTTGGGAGGCCCAGGTGGGTGGATCATGAGGCCAGGAGTTCAATACCAGGCTGGCCAAAATGGTGAAACCCCATCTCTACTGAAAATACAAAAATTAGCTGGTGTGGTCACAGGCACTTGTAATCCCAGCTACTTGGGAGGCTGAGGCAGGAGAATCACTTGAACCTGGATGGTAGAGGTTGCAGTGAGTCGAGATCCAGCTATTGCAATCCAGCCTGGCTGATAGAGTGAGACTCCCTCTCAAAAAACAAAACAAAAAAAAACCCACTTAATTATATGTGCTTTAAAAGAGGTACACTTTAATTAAAATATCATTAGCTACTGTGACCACTCAAGAAAGAAAATATTTAAATTAATAAAATCCAAAACAAAAAAGATTACTAAAAATTTTACAGATATTTAAAGACCTAAGACCTATAAAAGAATACTGCAAACAACAATAGACCAAGAAATAAATAGATGAAACCGAAAAACCTCTAGAGACACACAAATTACCTACACTGATTCCAGAAAATTAGAAAATTATAAAATACTTATGAGAAAAAATTAATTACTAATAAAAATCCTTCCCTAAAAATGTCCAATCCCAGATGGATTTTACAAATGTTTAAATAGAGGAGACAACACATCCCAACTCATTTTATGAAGTTTATATCACCATGATACCAAAGCCGAAGAAAAATATCATATGAAAACAAATCTACACGGCAATATTCTTTATAAAAATAAATGAAAAAAATCTTCAAAATTATGCCAGCAAACTGAACCCAGCAATGTATAAGAAGAGTTATGCACTATAACAGAGACTGGATACAAGGTCAGTTTAACAATTAAAAATCAATTAATGCAATATACTATATTAACAAAATAGAGGATAAAAATGAAATTTACATCTCAGCACATATTGCAGAAAAAAATAACTGAAAAAATTCAACAACCCTTAATGATGAAACAGAAATCGTTAACAAACTAACATTGGATGAAAATCTGATAAAGGGCATTTGTGAAAATATTACAAATAACATTATGCTTAAGGTTGAGGGACGGAATCTTTTCTCCCTATAACTGGGAAAAGATGAGAATACCTCTTCTCACCTATGCTATTCAACATTATAATGGAAGTGGTAATGAGGGCAATTAAGTAAGAAAAAGGACATTCAGTCTGGGGCAGTGGCTCACATCTTCAATCCCAGCACTTTGGGAGGGGGCAGATCACCTGAGATGAGGAGTTCTAGACCAGCCTAATCAATGTGGAGAAACTCCGGTCTCTACTAAAAATACAAAATTAGCTAGGCATGGTGGCACATGCCTGTAATCCCAGCTACTCAGGAGGCTGAGGCAGGAGAATTGCTTAAACCCAGGAGATGGACGTTGCACTCCAGCTTGGACAACAAAAGCAAAACTGTCTCAAAAAAAAAAAAAAAAAAAAAAAAAAAAAAAAAAAAAAAAAAAGAAAGAAAAGAAAGGAAAGGAAAAGGATATTCAGGTTATTCTAATTGGAAAGAAACAAGATAAACTATCTTTATTCAAGATGGCGTGAAAATGTACATATAAAGTCACAGAGTTCAATCAAAAACTAATAAGTTTTTTAAGTTTGCAGAATACAAAACCAATATGGAAAATTCACTAATTACCGAATATTAATAATGAGAAATCCAAACTGGTATAAAATTTAAATAAAATCTGTAAGGCCAGTTGCCTCGCTGGGGGGCCAAACACACCCACCTCTGCACTCAGCACCTGACTCTGCACCCAGCACCTGACTCTGCACCTGGCACCAGGCTCTGCACTCCACCCCTAGCTCTGCCACATGGCTCCCCTGGAAGGCTCTGGTTAATGCAACCCTGGCCGGCTCTCTCACTGGAAAACCCGCCCAACAACCTGCCAACCAATAGCGGTCCGCCCCGTCTCAATTCCGATCCCCTGGACCCAACCAGCTGTTCCTCGCTCCTCCTAGCTATAACCACCATCCACCCCACCGCCCCGGGAAGTCAGTGCAACTTCGCTGGCCCCTTTCCCTGGGACCAGAGAATCTCGCCTGGGAGCTGAATAAATTGGTATTTAATTTTCTTATACTGGCCTCAGTTTCCTCATTTTAAACTCGGCAATAACCCTTACAATATCTAAAATAATAAAACTTCTATAAATAACAAAAGAAGCTTTACTGAAGACTCATACAAAAATACATAAAACATTGTGGAAATAAATTAAAGAAGATCTAAAAAATAAAAACTACCTAACGTTTATTGATAGAAAGAGTTAGTATTGCTAATATAGCAACATTCCTCAGATTTATCTACAGATTCGGCACAATCCTGGGTGTCTTTTTACGGAAATTAAAAATAAATAAATATTTAAATACGTTTGGAAATGCACAGTAGCCAGAATAACCAAAATAATCTTGGAAAATAAGAATATTGAAGGCTGTACACTTACCAATTCCAAATCTTACTACAAAAATACAGTAGTAAAGAAAATGTGGTAGTGGCATTAGGATAGATATAAAGATTAATGGACTAGAATTTTAAGTCTGGTAATAATCCTTAACATTTATGGTCAACTGATCTTTGAAAAAAATCAAGAACATTCAGTGGGAAACAAATAATCTCTTCAACAAATAGTGTGAGAACAGCTGGATATCGATATGAAAAAAAAATTTGAAGCCCTACCTCATCCAATACAAAATGTTAAAGTGTATCATATATCAAAATGAGATTAAACAATAAAACATGTAGAATAAACATAAGCATAAATGATGTGATATTGGTTGTGATAATTAATTTTACCATAAACTTGGCTGAACCACTGTGAACAGATATTAGGTCAGACATTACCCTGGATGTCTCTATAAAGGTACCTTTTAGGTGAAATTAACATTTAAGTTGGCAATCCTCTAGTAAAGCAGATTACTCTTCATTATGTGGGTGAACATCATCCAATCAGTTGAAACCTTTTTTAGGAACCGATATTTCCTAAACAAAAAGAAAGTCTGCCGGCAGACTATGGTGGTCTTAAAATGCAAATCTTCCTTGGATCACCAGCCTGCCAGCTTACCCTACAGATTTTGGATTTACCAAGCCTTCACAGTCATCTGAGACCATTCCATAAAATCTCTCTCCTTTTCTCTCTCTCCCTCTTTCTGTATGTACACAAACACACACATATATATCTCATGTTGGTTTTATTTCACTGGAGAACCCTGATATAGATGTCGGCACCAGGAATGAGGTATCAAGAAAACAGAATATTAAGGGGAAATCTTCTGAATTGGTTCTGGGGTTTTGGGAATTTGCTTTCTACTCTGGTTAGATTTAAAGACACTTCTATAGATAGCAGATAGGTCATGGCTTGATGTAGCAATACAGACAGGCACTGATCAAACACCTAATGAAGGCAAGGGTCTTGGTGACCATGTATATGATACTTTTGAACATTTTTGTCAAACTAGCAAGTACAATGAGATTGGTTGCTCCTAATGTTGCTGGACAAAGTGGGGAAAGAAGAAAATAAGCTTAAGTATTTGAATTATCATCTCAAGTGATGCATAAATTACCCAAAAGCTTCTTTGTGTGTCTTGGAATAAATTTTCATATCCTATAGCTACAGAGCTGAGATTACTAAAAACCAAAAAACCAAACCCAGAATCTCGTCCTGTCATTGGACGAATTACAGTGGAAACAGATTTCCCAAACTCCCATGGTACTACTGTCAAAGAGAGAGCACTGAGTGGGAAGCAGTGGGATCCTCAAAACTGTAATGGGAACCTAGAGAAGGACTCTGATGAAGCTGGGCTATAAAACTCCTAAATGCTGGTGAGTTGTGTTTGCTAGCAGAGAAGCCTCTTTCACTTTCTGAGGAAATTAATTAGCCTTGAATCCTCTAAGGAAAATATAATGATCTCCCCTGAGGCAGTTCCCTTTCAAGATAGGGGCGATTCTCCTCAGGACCCTACATATGTATCTTCAATATTTATGTGGGTGACATTTGTGTTTGTTACACCAGGATTTTAACACAATGACTATGAATAAAGGAGGGCCTCTGCTGACAATAAAGATCTAGATTATAGAAAAAGATGCCACTAACAGTTCAAAACATCGTGATTGGAGTTCTGGAAAATTACAAAACTAGTTTTAAGGCATAATGATACAAGTTACAAAGTTTCTGATACATCCATACATGTGGGTATATATGTTTTGGTGTTTATGGAAGTGTAAATACATACTTTATCAATTATAAACATCAGTGCTTATATTGCTGTATAATAATAACCATGTTCATCACCTACCTCTATGCTTTGTATTTTATAGGGTAGATCTCTTGATTCAATATCTTTCTCAGTATATAAGGAAACATCTGCTTTCTTTTGTTTTACTTGGTAAATTACATGTTCAAAACCAACTGAAGACTCCAGGGGTTCAATGCCATAACTAACATTTTCAAACTGTAGTAAGCCCCTACAAATTTCAAAAAAAAAATTAATAAGTAAAATAATGTTTTGTGGAAAGCCAATAAAATGCCACTTAGCATTATTTTTTTCATGGTATACAGATGTATTTTATAAGGTAGATCTCTTGATTCAATATCTTTCTCAGTATATAAGGAAACATCTGCTTTCTTATGTTTTACTTGGTAAATTACATGTTCAAAACCAACTGAAGACTCCAGGGGTTCAATGCCATAACTAACATTTTCAAACTGTAGTAAGCCCCTACAAATTTCAAAAAAAAAAAAAAAAAAAAAAATAGTAAGTAAAATGTTTTGTGGAAAGCCAATAAAATGCCACTTAGCATTATTTTTTTCATGGTATGCAGATTATTTTTAGCTTGAGTCTAAAATAATAAAATAGGAGAATGTTACTGGGCATTCACATACTTACTGAGAGACACCCCATGGTAATGCTATTAGCATTTGCCTAGCTGTTAATATTTCATGGCTTCCAAATATATTTAAAAAATCAGAATTCTGCAAAAAGGTAGGAGTCATTATAAGTATTTCCATACCAAGACACACGAAGAAAAATTGGCTTTTTCAGTGCCAATTTTCCCATGAAAGCCATGCCTCACTTAAAATCACTGAATATTATTTTAAAATGTTTAAAATAATTTTGAAGTCAATATTTTCCTTTGTAATTTATAAAACTGTAAATTACAACCTGAGTCCGGTACATGTGCTAACCATCACCACAGATTTTGGATAACCTTCGATATACCCTTGGTAGTGGCAGAAGTTCTGAAAAATAAAGATAAAATGCACATAACCTCCATTAGAATGGTTTGTGTTAAAGATACAATTTTCAAAATAATCAAATAAATTTTAAAAAGAAACAAAAAAGATATAATTTTCAAATATGGAAAACATATATATATTTTGTATGTGTGCATCAAACACTCATTGTTTCCAAAATGGATTTATAAGGTTATTAGCTGCTCATCTAATATGGCTCAGCTTTCCAAAGTGCTCCCACAGATGCATAAAAATGAATATATTTTCATATTTGTATATATTTTAAATTAAACATTACATTCTCAGTTGTTAGAGTAAGGTGAACATCATCAAAACTTATTTTTTTCATACTGTTCGAAGCAAAATTAATTTTTAATTTCATCAAAATGTCAATTCCATCAAAATGTTTTAATTTGCAAATTTCACCTGGAATTTATATTGATCTTCGTTTTATAGTTCATCTTTCTACTGTGACACCCAAAATCTTAATTTGCACCACTTTCCAAATACCATACTTCATTGACCTAATATACTGTATTTCTATTTCTGATGTTATTTGAAAATGTATGTAAAAATATCTATGCTTTTATTTTTATTATTAATTGGGGTGTACTTCATACTTTATATAATGAAGGTAAAAGTATCTTGAACATTCCACAGCTTTTGTCTCCTTCCTTTCAAACGTGGTTTGTAATATCCAGATTGATTACATTTCTAATTCTGTGGAAAATTAGGAAGTTGCATCCACTTTAAACATAGGATGACATTGAGAAACTTAGAAATCAAAGAATAAGTCATTTTTAAGTCACATAGGATAAAATTTTCATGGAAGATTCAAAAAGCTTCACTTATTATCTAATATCCTTTTCCAGTTTATTTTTATTTTTTATTTTATCACTGTCAGTTTTTGCATCATGTGCCTTCACTATATTATCTTCTTGTTCAATATTCTATTTGTACTTGAAAAGTATCTGTATACACTTGATATACTTGCTGAATTTCTTTCTACTTCATTTAGAAGTTTAGAAAATTTCTACTTTATAAATTCTTGGAAGAGAAATGTTGAAATTTTTAAATATAATAATTATTTCTTTCACTTCTGTCAGTTGCCTTCTTCTGTAATTTGAGGTCTGTTTTTATGTGTACACACATTTTAGATTGTTTCATCAACCCGATAATGTTACCTTTTAATCATGATGACTATCTGTTTGTCCTGAAGAGATCACAAAATCCAGGACAATGATGAATGGCTTACACTCTGGATCCAGGGAAAACATTCTTTCCTGGTCTAGCTGGCTGATTTTTTTTTTTCTTTTGTAGATAAGTCTTTATTTACCAAGATAATATGACTTTTGGAATGGGAATCATGTGGGGACTTAAGAAAAATAAATAATCCAGTAAATACACCTGTTCCCAAACTAATTTAATGAGCTTTTCCTAGATAGGCCTACAACTTTGGGAAACATAATTTATTTTCATGGTAGCATATTTTTACTACATTTGAGATCAAAATGCAACTACTCACCACATTCAGATTACTGACGCTTTGAATGTTCTGTAGCATTCTTGTTTTTTTTTTTTTTTAATATACATTGTTGATTTAACGGAAATATTTATATGCAGTAAAACATAAAATGAATTATTGGTTGTATTGCTACATTTAAACAATATGCTTAAGTAACTAAACTATAATTAAGAATCCCAATTTTGTCCTAGACAGCTATTTTCAAATTAAAAAGTACATGATCACAAGTACTTAAAACTATAATAAAACTGATATTTATTTAATTATCTGTACATCCATAATAAAAGTTACTAGTTTGCTAGCAAGAATGATTTTTAGCAAGAGTGATCTGGTTTAAATAGCTATAGTTTTCTATGTTTCCATTATTATTTTAAATACATATTGACATTTATTTTTAAATGAAACCACAGAGCTGAACGACTGAAGCACACTTCATGATAAGCACTGAAAAGAAAATATGAGACCACTGTAATCCCCAATTACTTCATAAGGAAAACAGTCTGAAGAATAGTATTTAAAATAAATGTAAGTACATATTGGATTGTGAAAGACTTATGTAAACGTAACTTGAATTTACTGAAGAAAAAAGAAATACAAAAACAAATATTCTATAATTCCCTCCAAGAGACTTATTCAAATACGAGTTTAAGTAATAGCTGCAGGGTTGGGGTGTATAAGCCAGGCATGGAGGTGCATGCACCTGTAGTCCCAGCCGTTTGGGAGGCAGAGGTGGATCATTTAAGCCCAGGAGTTGGAGGCTGCAGTGAGCTGTGATTGCACTATTGTGCTCTGGCCTGGGCAACCAAGTGAGACCCTGTCTTTAAAGAAAATTTTTTTAGATGGAAAAGTTCACAGAAAGAGGCACTAGTCAATCACCAAATGTCATTTGTTTTCCCCTGAACCACAGCAATGTTACATTGCTGTTCTTTTCACTTCCTCCTTGCTTCCCATGAAGGATGAAGAGGCAGCTGCAATTGCTGTTTTGTGTTTTCAAGTTTTCTTTGTAGCTTCTTGTTAAACTGATTCTTGATCTGAGGTTCATTCTGTGGAATATCTAGGGATCTGGTTTTTGGAGCCTGTTCTTTGTAATTTCTTCTAGAGATTTTAGATCCAGATAAAGAGTGGGAAAACACTGATTTTAACTTTCTGGTTTCTGTGCTTGGCTTGGTTTTGTCATTTCTTCTATCTCCACGAGTTTCACCTGTATCTTTTTTTTTTTTTTTTTTTTTTTGAGACAGAGTTTCGCTCTTGCTACCCAGGCTGGAGTGCAATGGCACGATCTCGGCTCACCCTCCGTCTCCTGGGTTCAAGCAATTCTCCTGCCTCAGCCTCCTGAGTAGCTGGGATCACAGGCACGCGCCATCATGCCCAGCTAATTTTTTGTATTTTTAGTAGAGACGGGGTTTCACCATGTTGACCAGGATGGTCTCGATCTCTTGACCTCGTGATCCACCCACCTCGGCCTCCCAAAGTGCTGGGATTACAGGCTTGAGCCACTGCACCCGGCCGTATCTTCTTTAAGTAACACTTTTTTGAGTGGTTTTTGTTTCTTTTTTCTTTCTTTCTTTCTTTTTTTTTTTTTTTTTTTTTTGAGACAGAGACTCTCTGTCTCACTCTGTCTCTAGGCGCCAGGCTGGAGTGCAGTGGCATGATATCAGCTCACTGCAACCTCCGCCTCCCGGGTTCAATCAATTCTCCTGCCTCAGCCTCCCGAGTATCTGGGACTACAGGCACTCATCACCATGCCCAGCTAGTTTTTGTATTTTAGGAGAGACGGGGTTCGTGTTGGGCAGGATGGTCTCGATCTCTTAACCTTGTGATCTGCCCGCCTGGGCCTCCCAAAGTGCTGGGATTACAGGTGTGAGCCACCGCGCCTGATGACAACTACTTTCCTACCTTCATGTCCATCTGACTTTCCCAGTGAGGAAGTCATCACCGCTATCGCCATCTTCAGACATGGAAGACTGTTTGTAAAACCTTTCTTCTGTGCTATCATCAAAATACTCCTCCTCTTCACGTAATTCTTCTCTACCATCACTGCTACCACAGAGTGAGCTATCAGATACTTTCCTTTTTTGGTTTGACTTAGTGTTTTCAGTTTGGGGTCAGCAGGTGTCTTCTGGGACTCAAAGGAAACTACAGAATCCTTTCCTGAAGGCTTTGATGGAGAATTTGGAATAGTCACTGCTTTAGGTCCATGTTCTATCTTGCTATTTTTTCCTTTGAAGTAAGTATTGTTTTTTTTTTTTTTTCCAGCATTTTGGTTTCTTTCACTTTTTGCTCACTGATAATAGTTCCTTCATGCTGTAAATTACTTCCATTATCTTTTAAATCCCAAGTGTTCTTAGAATAATTGTCCTTTGAAGCATTCCTTGATGTCTCAACTTCAGCAACATTTTGTCTTGCCTCTTTAAAGGTTTGGACAGCAGCTTGTAGCACGTCTGTCTCTTTCTTCCGAAGAGGATGTACTGCTACTCTGGCAATTGCGCATTCAGTTGCAGTAGAATCTGGCTTTTTGCTGATTTTTTCAAAGTTGATATCATCACCAAGAGCAGATTTAATTACCATATCAGGTTTCAATTTCTTCATGGCATGGATTTCTTCAAGCAATTGTTGTGCCCGTCTTTTCCACAGTGGATCCTCAGTATCCTTTTTTGACTTCAGTCTGCCAACACTCCCGACACGTTTTCGGATAATCAAAACTCGAATTCTCTTCACTTCTTTTCTCATCTTCACGACATCGTTATTGAGGTTCAGAGTTCCTAGCTGAGCCATGGTAGATGGAGGAATATAATCTGCTGCTGCTTGCGTGTAAACTCGCTTTTTTTTTTTTTTTTTTTTTTTTTTTTTTTTTTTTTTAACTATACATTTATCTTTCATTATTACTGCTTGGGAAGTAGGAAGCAGAGTTATGTATGGAAGAATGACACAAAATTCAGATGTGGGATTTTCCTGTCTTCTCTCTCTCCTCTCTTTCATACATACAAACGCAAACACACATAACACACATACACACATAACATTATCCTAGTTGACCCAGGCATCTCAGATCAACTTCCCCTTTTCATTTGTGATTCCTAAAACTGTAAACCGAAACCTTTTCATATGTAATTGCGGAGACTGTAAAACAAGACCCGTTTCGTATGTAAAACTATAAAACCTAAGATTCTTCCACGTGTAACATCTAAAGTATAAGCCTATATTAAGGCAGAACCTTTCGTTGCTAGGGGAGCTGGGTTTTGGACAGATTACCATCCAAGGCTCCCGGTCATGTAAACCCTCCTTCCTCCTGTATTCCCTGTCTGAGAGATCCGTTTCCTGTGGCCACTCCTGCTACAATAGGTTTGTATAGTCCACTCTATAACTGACTCATAGAATTGTGTACTCTCTTGGGCAAAACTTAAAGCAACTGACTATATCTATTATTTCTTCTGTTAAATTCTAGAATCTCTAAACATGCTTTACTTTCAAAGCACTTGACTGAGTCACTACATAAAAATCAAGAATGAAAATGGAAAACACAACAGCAATTAGTAGATCAGGGCAGAGGTTAAAAAAAAAAAGCCACTTTAGGCATGAGCAATCCCAGTAATTTTATTCACTCTTCTTTATTATTTTTAAAACAAATATAGACAATATTAAATTAAGCTCTACATGTTCCAAATAGATGAAAATTTAACATACTCCTAAACTTGTGCAAAATTTCATGTGTACTTACTTAGTCCTTGAACTTACTTCAAAGTAGGTTGGATTTGTATTTTCTTCTTCAATTTAGCTTTCCTAATTCAAATTATACTTTTTCACTTAACATATTTCACAACATATTTAGTCCCTATCACCTCAGGTATATAATCCCTTAGCATGCTTCTGAATAGTTTGGAAACATTACAATCATGTCTTTTTGGTTATTTTTTTATTTTTGTTTTTTAATTTACTTAAGTTTATTATTTATTGTTTTTTTAATTGCATTTTAGGTTTTGGGGTACATGTGAAGAACATGCAAGATTGTTGCATAGGTACACACATGGCAGTGTGGTTTGCTGCCTTCCTCCCCTTCACCTACATCTGGCATTTCTCCCCATGCTATCTCTCCCCAACTCCCCACCCCCAGCTGTCCCTCCCCTATTTCCCCCCAACAGACCCCAGTGTGTGATGCTCCACCGCTTCCTCTGTCCATGTGTTCTCATTGTTCAACATCCACCTATGAGTGAGAACATGTGGTGTTTGATTTTCTGTTCTTGTGTCAGTTTGCTGAGACTGATGGTTTCCAAGTTCATCCATGTCTCTACAAAGGACATGAACTCATCATTTTTGATGGCTGCATAATATTCCATGGTGTATAAGTGCCACATTTTCCCTGTCCAGTCTATCATTGATGGCATTTGGGTTGGTTCCAGGTCTTTGCTATTGTGAACAATGCTGCAATGAATATACGAGTGCATGTGTCCTTATAGTAGAATGATTTATAATCCTTTGGATATATATCCAGTAATGGGATTGCTGGGTCAAATGGAATTTCTATTTCTAGGTCCTTGAGGAATTGCCACACTGTCTTCCACAATGGTTGAACTAATTTACACTCCCACCAACAGTGTAAAAATATTCCTATTTCTCCACATCCTCTCCAGCATCTGTTGTCTCCAGATTTTTTAATGATCACCATTCTAACTGGCGTGAGATGGTATCTCAATGTAGTTTTGATTTGCATTTCTCTGATGACCAGTGATGATGAGCATTTTCTCATACATTTATTGGCCTCAAGTATGTCTTCTTTTGTAAAGTGTCTGTTCATATCCTTTGCCCACTTTTGAATGGGCTCATTTGTTTTTTTCTTGTAAATCTGTTTTAGTTCTTTGTAGATTCTGGATATCAGCCCTTTGTCAGATGGGTAGACTGCAAAATTATTTTCCCATTCTGTTGGTTGCCGATTCACTCTAATGACTGGTTCTTTTGCTGTGCCTAAGCTGTGGAGTTTGATTAGGTCCCATTTGTCTATTTTGGCTTTTGTTGCCAATGCTTTTGGTGTTTTGATCATGAAGTCTTTGCCTACGCCTATGTCCTGAATGGTTTTGCCTAGATTTTCTTCTAGGGTTTTTATGGTGTTAGGTCTTATGTTCAAGTCTTTAATCCATCTGGAGTTAATTTTAGTGTAAGGTGTCAGGAAGGGGCCCAGTTTCTGCTTTCTGCACATGGCTAGCCAGTTTTCCCAACACCATTTATTAAACAGGGACTCCTTTTCCCATTTCTTGTTTTTGTCAGATTTGTCGAAGATCAGATAGTTGTAGATGTGTTGTGCTGCCTTCAAGGCCTCTGTTCTGTTCCATTGGTTTATATCTCTGTTTTGGTACCAGTACCATGCTGTTTCAATTACTGTAGGCTTGCAGTATAGTTTGAAGTCAGGTATTGTGATGCCTCCTGCTTTGTTCTTTTTGCTTAGAATTGACTTGGCTATGTGGGCTCTCTTTTGGTTCCATATGAAGTTTAAGGTGGTTTTTTCCAGTTCTGTGAAGAAGGTCATTGGTAGCTTGATGGGGATAGCGTTGAATCTGTAAATTACTTTGGGCAGTATGGCCATTTTCACGATATTGATTCTTCCTAACCATAAACATAGAATGTTTCTCCATCTGTTTGTGTCCTCTTTTATTTCGTTGAGCAGTGGCTTGTAGTTCTCCTTGAAGAGGTCCTTTACATTCCTTATTAGTTGTGTTCCTAGGTATTTTATTCTCTTTGCAGCAATTGTGAATGGCAGTTCGTTCTTGATTCGGCTCTCTTTAAGTCTGTTATTGGTGTATAGGAATGCTTGTGATTTTTCCACATTGATTTTATATCCTGAGACTTTGCTGAAGTCGCTTATCAGTTTCAGGAGATTTTGGACTGAGACAATGGGGTCTTCTAGATATACAATCATGTCATCTGCAAATAGTAACAATTTGACCTTCTCCTTTCCTATTTGAATACCCTTTATTTCCATTTTTGGTTAATCATCTGTTTAACAGGGCTAACTCAGTATATCAGTATACATCATCAACAGGAAAACATTAAACTCATGCCAAAAAAGCCATGACCCAACCCTTTGGACTCCAGTAACATGTGGACACTAATAAGGTGATCATAGAAACTCACATGACAAAAATGAAAGAGATCATAAAAAACATACCTGCAAATCTTGGTCAAGCGGTTTCATAATTCCTGTGTGACTATAACCGTAAACTCTAAAATTATTGGGTAAAAAATTTCTGTAAAATAAAGATAAAATGGAAAAATTTGTTTCTGAAAGTTTCATTTTGAAAAGTTGATTTTATTATTATAGATAGGTAGGTCGACATCGAAAGATAAAATAGAAACAGAGAGATATTTCCTGAATGTATGAATTTTGTTCTAAATTTTACTTAAACATCTTAGACTTCACTCTCTCTTTTGTTGCACTGTTTTCCTAGCTGTTTTCCAAACACAACAGGCAAGCTTGGATCTCAGGATATTTGAACTATTTTGTTGGCCCTTCCTGGAAAGTTCTGCAACATAGTTCGTTGTTCTTCATCTACTTCAAGTCTTTGCCTATACATCAATTTCCCATTGAGGCTTACTTTGAAAATTTTATTTAAAATGTCAACTTGTATAATCACCAAAGCCTAGAATTTTTAAAACACACTCTATGTTTGCACTATAGTTTTTGCTCAAGCATATATTACTTTCTCACATTCTTCCCACTCTATTTATTTATTATATAATTGTTAGTCTCATTTGATGTTAATATAAACTCAGAGATTTGTATCTATGTTGTTACTAATACTAATGCACCCCAAGTATTAGTAATGTTTGCCAAAGTTACATAAAAAGTTAAGCTAATCTCTGAAGATCAGAGTATTTTTTTTTTCAAAATTGATGATACAATGTCAAAAAGCTGTATGTAAGTCAAGTAGGATAAAGGGAAATAAAAGTCAAATGTAAATATATCATCAAAAGAAAAAAAAAGACTAATAAAAACCCAGAGAAACTTTAAAGATCTTTAAAATATCAAGAAAAAAGAATGTTACCTTTGAAGAAACAAATAATACTTAATAAACAAATTAACAAATAATACAGGCACTTCAGCAATAGAAAAGAAAAAAAAGAAGCCAGAAAACAATAGAATGGTGATTTAAAAGGCAAAGGACATCTTTTTCAAAGATATCTTATAATTTATTCCAGCAAAAATTTTATAACAATAGAGTTAAGTTGTTTCATATGAATTTTAGAATTGTTTTTTATTTCCATTTCTGTGAAAACTATCATTAGAATTTTGAGAGGGTTTACCCTGAATCTGTAGATTGCTTTGGGTATTATGGACACTTTAGCAATATTAATTTTTCCAGTTCATGAACATGGCTTATCTATTTATTTGTTATTTTCCTTCGTTTCTTTTAACAATGTTTTATAGTTTTCAGTGTACAGATCTTTTACCCCCTGAGTTAAATTTGTCTAACTAGCCAAAACAATCTTGATCAAAATGAACACAGCTGGAGGCATCATACTACCTGATTTAAACTATAAAACTATGTTATATAGCCATAGTAACCAAAACAGCATGGTACTGGTGTAAAAAATGAATGGAACAATATAGATATAAGCAAAATGAAACAACAGACTAGGGGCAGTGGCTCATGCCTATAATCCTAGTACTTTAGGAGGAGAGGCAGGCAAATCATCTGTGGCCAGGAGTTTGAGACCAACCTGACCAACATGGAGAGACCCTGTCCCTACTAAAAATACAAAATTAGCTGGGTGTGGTGGCACCTGCCTATAATCCCAGCTACTCAGAAGGCTGAGGCAGGGGAATCACTTGAATCAGGGAGGCAGAGGTTGCAGTGAGCCAAGATTGCCCCATTGCACTCCAGCCTGAGCAGTAAGGTAAAACTCTGTCTCAAAACAAACAAACAAACAAAACCCAAAACAAAACAAACAAACAAACAAAAACCACACACATTTACAGTCAGTTGGTGTTTGACAAAATTGTCAAGAAGGCGCAATAGGGAAAGGACAGGCTCTTCAATGAAATCACATGTAGAAAACTGGACACCGACATGCAGAAAAACAAAATTGGATCCTATCACATACCACATTTTAAGAAATAAATAAAACCTCAAAATGGATTAAAATTTAACCATAGTAGCTGCTATGCTAAAATTACTAGAACAAAGCATAGAGGAAATTCTTGACATTGGCCTACGTGATGGTATTTTGGCTATGACTACAAAAACAAAACTAGACAAAAGCTAGACAAATGGGAATGCAGAAAATTTAAAAGCTTCTGTGCAGCAAAGGAAAAAATCAACGCCATGAAGAGACAACCTACAGAATGGGAGGAAAGATTTGCAAACTATACATCTAATAAAGGGTCAAAATCCAAAATGTATAAGGAACACAAACAACTGAATAGCAAAAAAACAAAAATTGAAAATGAGCAAAATACCTAAACAGACTTTCTCAAAAGAAGACATATAAATGGCCAAGAGGTTTATGAAAAACTGCTCATTATCACTAATCATCAGAAAAGGGCATATTAAAGCCACAATGAGATAACACCTTACTCCTGTTTAATTGGCTATTATCAAAAAGACAGAAGATAAGTGTTGGCAAGGATGTGGAGAAAAGGGAACACTTACACAAAGTTAGTGGAAGTGTAAATTAGTACAACAATTAATAATGAGGTCTCTCAAAATGTTAAAAATAGAACTACTGTATGATTCAGCAAAATATGCCAAATTCAGAAAGAAAAATATTACCTGATCTCATTTATATGGAAAGTCTAAGAAATTCAAACTCATAGAAGCAGAGAGTAGAATGGTGGTTTTTAGGAGCTGACAGTGGGAAAATGGGAGATGATGGTTAAAAGGAAGAAAGTTTCAGTTAGAATGAATAAGTTCTAGAGAGCTTTTGTACAAGTTAACTGTAGTTAATAATGTTTTATACTTGAAAATTGCTAAGGGATTAGATCTCAAGTATTCTTAACCACAAATAAAGGTAAGTATTTGAAGTGATTGATATGTTAATTGGCTTCATCCTTTCACAATGAATGCTTATCTAAAAATATGTTGTAAACTGTTAATATATATAACTATTTTCTGTCGATTAGACCTTTATATAGCTGGAGGGGGAAGAATATAATTAAATAAAGATTTAATGACAAATAAAAACACATGTAATTTAAACAAGTAGTCTTATAATAGAAATATATTAATAATTTCTGAGCTATATCAAAATTAGCTCCCGATGGAAGCACCGAAATGTAGGGAGAACTAAAGAGCACCAGAATTGGTAAATTTTGGTTAAATTAAAATGAATACTGACTTTATAAAAAAAATAGTAATACTTCATGGGGATTTAAAAGTATACATGCTTGTGATGTATGAAAAAAATAATGAAGGGGAAGCAGAGGGTAAAGGGAGTTAGAGATTTAAGGATCTAAAAATACATGGTAATTGGTAGGAGGAATAATTTGTAATAGACTCAATTACTCAAGAGTTGATATGTTAGCACAGAGAAACTACTAGAAGAGTAAAAGAATGTATGACAAAGAATTTAATTGAGGGATAATATATAATATAAATTAATAGATTCAATCAAATACAGGCAATTAAGAAAAAAGAGGAATATAAAACAAAATATAAAACAGAAAAAATATAATCATTCTAAAATCACGTGAAAATTCAAACAATCAAGAAGAGTAAGCACACCTTAAAACTGAAGGACAACTCTAGTTACAAACACCTATTACAAAGTCATAGCAATTAAAACATGACATTTGGACAGACAGACAGGGTCTAAGAATGACCATACAAAGAAAGAGAAGAGAACAAAGAATCCAGAGACTTCTTTATATACAATCATTTAATTTATAACAAAGATTACATTACAGTGCAGTGAAAAAAAATCACTTTTTTTATTGGGCTGAGTCCAGCACGGCACAAATAATTGCCAAAGCATCTATGATGAGGAAAAAGGTGAAATGATTGTCACCTTTTCTTGATAAAGCTATCAAGATTTATTATAAATAGACAACTAGACCAAAAGGTTTAACCAAGAGTCTGGAAACAAATAAAACCATATATAAATGTATAATATATAACCATCCTGACACAGAAGACATTTACAGAAAGAAGATTCATACAGCTCTTGAAACATATGAAAAATCATATATAGAAAAACTAAATTGGTTGTCTACCTTACAGCATATTCAAAAGCCAATTTCTGTTTCAACAAAGACCCGAATGTGAAAGGCAAAACTAAAAATATTTTAGAGGATTATATAAGATTTAGTCACGGCCTTGGAGTAAGAAAGGATTTCTTATACAAGATACAAATATAACTTACCATAATGGAAGAATTATCTTTACCAAATACCGTAAGTGTGTAAACACAGGGAAAGAAAAGGTCAGATTAGAAATATCTTTTGACAAAGAACAGATGTCTTAAACAGGCACTTTACAGGGGAGAAATTCCATATGGCTGACTGCCATATTTAAAAAGTTAGAGAAAGTATTTACAGTTAGAGAAATACACATTAAATTATTTACAGTTAGAGAAATACATATTAAATTATTTAAAGTTAGAGAAATACATATGAAATTACAGTAGTACATAAGTATATAATCATCAGCATTTAAAACTTAAAACATCTACCACTATTAATAGAATATATAATTAATGCTTTGGAGAAAATGTATGGTAATTATGAAAATGCATGTAATGTAATCCATCAGTATGCTATTAGTCATATCGCCTATAAAATCTTATGCATATTTCCAAAAGAATATATATTTTAACATTACCAAACTAGACAGAAACAAAATGTTCAAAATACGATGAAAAAATTGTTGTATAATCATGAAATTGGATGTTATACAGTAATAAAAATGAATACATTGGAATTAATTGCAAAAACATTGAAAAATCTCACAAACATTATTTTAAGTGACTAAAACTAGAAAAATAATCATAATTCATTTATTTAGAGTTAGAAAACAGAGAAAAAGAAGCCACATTAACTAGGATAATAAATTCTGTAATGACGTATTTTCCTCTGGGTACACACCCAGGCGTGGAATTACTGGATCAAATGATAGGTCTACTTTCTTGGAAATCACAGCTAAAGAACTTATTCATGTAACCAAACACCACCTGTTCCCAAAAAACTATTGGAAAAAAATTTTTTTTAAGAAAAGGATACATAAAACAACTAAAATGGCCAAGGAAAAAAAAGATAAATAAATTCTAAATAAAATCAAGGAAGAGGGTATCACAACAATCCAGAAAAGTAGTAAGAAGGACTGAGGGGCTGTTATAGGAAATAACAAATATACAACATCTTGAGTGCATTCAATGTATATTTAAAGTCAGAAGGTTACATAAATGCTCACTTCATGACACTTATCTAACTGTATAAACATGTTTTGTTTTTAATTTATGCCAATTTTATTATACAATGAACATTAAAAAATTAAAGAGAATTCAAGGTGATTCTTATGACAGAGGAACCTATTTTCCTGTTTCCATCACTACTCTTGATATTGACATAATAATAAACAATCATTTTCAAATACAGGGCTCCACTATAATAAACTGGCCCACAGGTTAAATCCAGCTGATAGATTGTTTTTGAAAATAAAGTGGTATTACAAAATAGCCACACCCATCATTTGCATATTGTTTATGGCGCTTTTACAACAGAAAAGTGGATTAATTGCGAGAGACTATATAGAGCTCAAAGTCGAAAATATTTACTATCTCCTCTTTGCCAAAAAAGTTTCCTGATTCCATTATATTCTAGGGTTAATGGGAATGATCAAAGCAATAGAAACAAAGACTGGTACCACAGCTGAAAGAGTGAGCAGGTGAAGCTGTGAAAAGCAAGACAGAATCTGGATCAGAATCATGTCTTAAGAATAGATGGTTTAATGTCCTCTGGTCATTAGCATGAAAACACATTATTTGAGCCAATAGTCCCCAGCCTCAGAATACACTGATGCAAGCCTTAAATAAAAGGAATAGAGCTAGAAATTTCCTCTGCAAGTTGCTAACAAACACACATAAAAAATCAAAACTTGTTTCTGTCATCTTAGTGTTTGTTTCATCCCAAAATTTATATTTTGAAACCTAATCACCAATGTGGTGGTTTTAGGAGGTGGAATTTTAGGGAGATGATCAGGTCACAAGGCTGGAGCCATTCTGAATGGGATTGCTCTCCTTATAAAAAAAAGGCCTCAAAGAGTTGACCTGCTCCTTCCACCATGTGAGGGCACAGCATTGAAGGAACCATTTATGAGCCAGGAAATGATCTTTCACAGAACACTGAATCTGCCAGTGCCTTGATCTTGGGCTTTCCAGCCTCTAGAACTGTAAGAAATAAATCTTTGTTGTTTATAAGCTACCTAGTCTACGGTATTAATATTTCGTTATAGCAGCCCAAACAGACTAAGACACCTGCTGTACACAGACCCTGGACAAAAGGATATTACTCAATACTGACCAAGGCAAAAATAGCATCACATGCAAAAATGAAAATCCTAAACTGTGTCTCAGGCAGATGTGAAATGGATTCCAAACAGCCCTGTTATTACTGAAACCCTGAGCTGATAAAGCATGTAAATTTTTGACCCAGTTAATTGTCATAGCAGGAAACACGCAGAAGCATCCACAAAACCACCCTCAAAGAGATGTCTCCACAACACAAAAACGATTAGAGGATGATGGAAGATAAGGTTCATTCAAAAAAGTTCATCAATGATGATTTCAAACATATGGAAAAGTCCAAAACTTGCAAATTTGGAGAAATCCTGTAGAAAAATACCAATAATCAGGTAAACTACAAAACTTAAGAATAAAGGTTGTAATGTTAAAACAGATAAAAAACAGAGATAAAATCCATAAAAGATTTACAAAACATAAATGTGTCAATTTGTGTAGAAATCCTAAAAATATAGTCATTGAAAAAATTCTTGAAGAGACCAGACATACGTAGAGAAGTGGAAATTGCCCAAAATAAAGCACACAATCAGTAATAACAAGAAATGTGAATGAGTACATAGAAATATGTGATAGCTAAGTGAGTCAAAAATTGCTGACTTTGGAGAACAAAATAATGATTCACTAAAATTTATGTTAAGGGGCCCCAATGTATATCCAACAGCATTCCAGGAAAAGTTAGCAGAGTGAGAAAAAAGAAGAGTTAAACTTAAAAATTGACAAGAGTCTCCAGGATCGAAGCAAGGATGTTAACTCTCAAATTGAAAATTCAAAGTCCTTTGAGATATAAAGAAAAAGAAATCAATGACTAACATGTCATAGACAAACCACAGCACCTTAAAAGAAACCAGAAGTACTCATCGGTCTTGGTGTTACTCTAAATATCCTATTAACCTAGATCTCTCCTCAAGTTTCTCAAGAACACAGTGTGCAATGTGACAAAACTGATTACTGGTGTTCTTATTTTGCATATTTGAAAGCTCTTGGAGATGGACATGTTGCCAGGAAAAGGTACAGTTTGGAGCTAGCTCTGCACACAGTCCAGGCCGCCTTGTCTTTTGAAAGTAAATGTCATATCACCCTGAATATCTATAAACTGCTGGCCGTATCTGAAACTAACTAGTTACCAAGATACCCTGGGTAGGAACTGGCAGGGCTTGAGGGAGACCGCTAGCAATGGTCACCAAAGGCTACAGTACTCCACCGGGGGGCTACCCAACAAGGCTTTATGTTGTCCCATCCCATAATATTATACCCTTTATTCTCATCTGATGCAGATAAAATGTAAAAACAGTGAAAACTTTGAATTTTACTTTTGTTATAGATTTGGTCATTCATTTCTAAAATGAGTTGTAACATTCTATTTATTGCTACTTTGTTGATATTTTACAATAATGTTTTGGATGTTTTTGAGCCAAGAGTTTTTCTGCAATTGCTCCTGAATTTACAAATATCGTGATTCTGTGATTAAGGCTTTGTAATTACATTCTAATTTTATTGTGCTAGTCACTTAGAATGTGGTTACTGTTCGAAAGATATTTTAGTATGTGATTTTTTTCCTTAAGTACCTTTTCATCACTTGCGTGCAAGAAAATAACCACATTATTTGTATGGTATGTGATTCATCCATTACATCACCATAAATTGTACTGTATGTTTTATACTTTTTTTCTAATGGAAAAAAGAGTTTGAGAAATCTACTGTTACAGTTATATTTTAATTCAGGTATTCTTATATATCTAATTACACTTTACATAATTTTGATCTATATTAAACATTTATAAATACTGTATCTGTGATGCAGAAAGTAATTTCACAGGATGCTTTCCTACTGATCCCTAATTTGCTCTCAGTCTCACCACTTGGTATTCTAAAGTCACACCTATTGGTGAGATCATCTGAGTTTGCTCTATGTACTTCTTCCAGAAGGCAGCACTTCTTTTTCTTCAGAAAAAAGTAATTCTGAGTTTTATTTTCATGTTATTTCTTCAAACTAGGACCATCCATCTTATAAATAGAAAACATTTTCTGAAATTTATGATGTATAAAAATATTGCAGCTATGAATTCTAAAACGGATACAAAGAGAATTGATAAAATAATGATGATTACCTACTTTTGCATTAAATTCACAGTATATGGTTTCCCTTCAATTACAATTTTGTAGAATATCTGGCAGGAGAATACATTGAAAATGCAAAGAAAATAAGAAAAATGTTAGAAAGGATATATATCATTTTGCAGTAATGATAATTACATTCTAAAACACATTCATAAAATAAAAAGAAAAAAGAATGCTGATTTATCTTAATGGCATTTGACATTATAACTCTAAATTTCATAATCAAAATAATGAATAAAATAATTTATATACCTCCTTATTTGTTCATTTTGAAATGTGTATGTTGATTTTACATCCTGCAGCTTCATTTAATTCATCTTTTTGATCTCACAGTTTTTTGGTGGAGTCTGGGGTTTTCTATATATAGGATCATGTCATGTGCTAACAAAGATAATTTTATTTCCTACTGATTTTGGATACCATTTATATCTTTTTCTCTGCCCTCAATAATTAGTACTATCAGTACTATGTTGAGAGTGGGAATTCTCGTCTTGCACCACATCTTAAAGAAAAAGCTTTTAGTTCCTTTCCACTAGCTATGATGTTAACTATGAGTTTTTCATAACTGGCCTTAATTATATTCAGGTACCTTCCTTTTAAACTGTTAAAAGTTTTTAACCAAGAAAGGATGTTAAGTCTTTATGGAATTATCTTTTGGGATCTCCTGGTGTTTTCATATCCACATGCATCTATGCTCAGATTCCTTGTTCTTACAAGGACATCAGTATTAGAACCCATTCTATTCTAGTAAGCTCATTTTAATTTTATTACCTCTTTATAGACTCTGCCTCCAAATATACTTATATTCTGAGGTACCAGGGGTTAGAACTTCAACAAATAAACTCTGCTTTGGATTTGGCACACCTGTTCTGAAGACTCAACTTTTTAAAGTCATTTCTCTGTTAAAATGTTTCTACTATTACCTCTTCTTCTCATCCCGCAATTTCAGGAATGCCAATTTCTCTATGCTTAAGCTTCTAATTCTTACCTTTTCTCTTAGTCTTTCATATGTTGCATTTTGTCTCTGCAGTTCTCTCTGTTCTACTCTTAATTCCTGACTTTTACATTTTCCACTTTTGGAAATTATATTCAGTTATTTTGAAAAATCTAGTATTTTTAGGTTGAATATTCTTTTGATTTTTAGTCTTTACTAGTTGTAATAATTTAAAACGTACGTTGTTTCATATTATGTTTGTAGTATTTGTTGAATTAATAAGCATAGCAGCCTCATTGAGTTAAAAAATACTATTAATGCATTACTTTGGAACTGGCACTATTCCAGGCAAGAATAATACAGACATTAACAAAACAGACCATTTTTTTCCCTCATGAACTTGACAGTTGAAAATGGGCATTTATTTTTTACTTTACTTATTGCAAATCACTGTAACAATCAAGTTATTCTTGTTTGAAGATATTTCTCTCCAGAGATTCTCTGCTTATTTTCTAATATAATTAACATCTCCATAATACTTTTACATTAAAAAGCTTTCATAAAATATTGTTAAAAACCTCACTGTTGGCTGGGCGCGGTGGCTCACGCCTATAATCCCAGCACTTTGGGAGGCCGAGGTGGGTGGATCCTGAGGTCAAGAAATCGAGACCATCCTGGTCAACTTGGTGAAACCTTGTCTCCACTAAAAATACAAAAAATTAGCTGGGCATGGTGGCATGCGCCTGTAGTCCCAGCTACTCGGGAGGCTGAGGCAGGAGAATTGCTTGAACCCAGGAGGTGGAGGTTGCGGTGAGCTGAGATGGTGCCATTGCACTCCAGCCTGGGTAACAAGAGTGAAACTCTGTCTAAAATAAATAAATAAATAAATAAATAAATAAATAAATACCCTCACTGCTTTCTTTCTATTTAAATGATTTATTAATAGATAGGTATTACTTTAAAAATAATTTATATAACCTCTAAAACTATAATGGCTGTATTAGGATGACAAACGGAGATTTGCTAAGGAAATGTTTGCATTTAAATTACTAGAACATCTGCCACTAAACCAAAAAAAAGAAAAAAAAAAAAAGATTGATGCCTCAAGAAACACATTCCACTTCAGAAATGGATTCTAGAACTTAGTGAAAATGACAAGAAGCTTTTATATTCGAATTTAAAAAAGATAATAATTCTGAACTAAAATAATCTAAAACAGCTTGAAAGGAACAGTCCTAATTATTAACATAGTTGCAATCAGGGCTAAAAAATCATTAATATAACATATCATTAATCTAAGTGATCATCCCATCCCATATAAGCCACCCAAGGCTTACTTAACACCAATGACAAAAAAAATTCCTCCAAATACAGATAGAATGGTGAGTGAGAACAGAATCTCTAGGATGATCAAGCCAACGATTATTCAAAGACATCGGAGAGGGAGACAGGTTCAGAAAATGAACTTGGGGTTTTTCTATCCAGCATCACTGCACCATTATTTCTGTGAAATATTGTTGTTCCTGGTTCGTTTTCAAAAGGGCTTTTCCATCCAGGGAAAATTGAGCATAAATATAAAATTCACCGGGTGTGCATGAATAAAAAATGGCAGATTAACTTCTTAGAAACAAAATATTTACATCATTATTTTTATTATTATTTTGAGAAGGAGTCTCCCTCTGTCAGCCAGACTGGAGTGCAGTATTGTGATCTCGGATCACATCAACCTCCACCTCCTGGGTTCAAGTGATTCTTCTGCCTCAGCCTCTGGAGTAGCTGGGATTACAGGCGTGCACCACCATGCCCGGTATTTTTAGTAGAGATGGGATTTCACTATATTGGCCAGGCTAGTCTCGAACTCCTGATCTCGTGATCTGCCTGCCTCAGCCTCCCAACATGCTTGGGTTACAGGTGTGAGCCACGGCGTCCGGCCATGACTTTTAATTAGTAAATAATGTTAGTGATTCATTACCTGTGATTCGATTCCTTCCTTTTTTATTGACCGTATTTTTTCTGGAACTGTAATTTGCACAGGTAGATTACCAAAATCTGCAGGGTGCAAAATGTTTTATTAGAGCACTACCCATCATCTCAGAGCTTGTTTTATGAGCTTTTCATCTAAATCTTTAGTCTCTATTTTATATGCTGCCTCTCATTTTTATTACCTTTTGAAATAACCTCAGTTCCCATTCCTTCTAAAATTACAAGGAGATTTTGTTTATGCTTGTTTGATTGTTTATTTTTTAAAAAAGAAGTAGGTATACTTCTTTAGGATTATTACCCTGTAGGTGGGATCTGGTAATCTTGGGTCAATAGGTTCAAACCCTTCAGGATAAATAAACTCACTCTGGATCCTTCGACTAGAGAGTACAAAAGTTGGGTCTCAACCTTTACTCTCGTGAAAAATGCAAAGCATGATCTGAAACTACAATTCTGCAGCATTCACTTAAGGCCTGGCACCTCCCATCTTTCCTAGGTTTCCAGACATGTGAGAAAGCCCTTATCCCATGTGAATTTTGGTTGGGGAAGGCGGCAATGTCGGGGTGAGCTCAGAGCTGCAGAGTTGGAAACCCCACAGGAAAGCAACCTCCCAAGGATGTCCAGTGCAACCCGGAGGCGAAGGGAGAGTACCGCTGAGGGTCCCAACATGTCAGAGGAGGGACTTTTTTTCTGCTTACTACCTTCCATCCGCAGCCCGCCGAGCCCGCTGAGCAGCAACAAGACTCGCCACATGGCTGGAAGTCCTGGGTCCCCGCCGGAATAATGGCAGTTGGTGGTTACAGGGCAGTTGGGAGCGCGAGATGACGCCCCAGCCACGCAGCCTGCAAGAAGCAGGCGTCTGGGAGAGCCCAGGTGGGCAAGGCTGGGCGCGCTGCGCCGTGGAACCTGCGAGGCCCCGGGCCCTCTCCTGCAGGACAAGGACGCCACTGGACGTGACACCTAATTAAGGCAACAACAACAAAATCACTTCCAACAGCCGAGGAACAGGAAGCTTCACAAACATTTCTTAAGTAAAATTTTAATCGAACACGTATAAACATGTTTATAGTCAGTCATAGGGTTGCAGATTAATTAATATTAAAGTGAAAAAAAGTGTAATTAGTACCACGACGAAGAAATGAAAAAGAATCACCCAAATCCCCAGATGCCCACGTCACGACCGTGACTTCTAACAACCGAAGATTAGTTTTATCTGTTTTTGAACTTTTCGTAAATAGAAGCAATTACCATGTACTCTCTCATGTTTGGGTTCTTTTAGTAGGATGATGGCAAGGTTCATGCAAAGCAGTAATTCTGTTTTATCCTCGTTGGTGTATATTACAAATTCAATAAATATAACACAATTTGTTTTTCCATTTTACTATTAGTGAATATTTGATTTGTTTATTGTTCCAGCTATTAAAAATAATATTTAGCTATAAACGTTCTTCTACATGGCTTTTGGTGTAATAACTAAGGATTTCTACTGGGTATATTTCTAGAGTGAAGTTGCTGGATCACAGTGTACGTGTTGGTAGATGCTTCCAACAAGTTTTCCAAGACTGTACTGATTTATACACTTCCCACCAGAAGTGTATGAAAATTCCACGTCCTCCATATCAGTGCCTACACCTGTTTTCCTCTCCTCTCTGTCCTTCATTTTAGTCATCTCGGTTTCAATTTGCATTTTCATGGTGGTTAATGAACTTTAGCACAATTTTATCTGTTTATTGCCATTTCATATCGCTTCTTTGGTAAATACCTTTTTGAGACTTCGGTCCATTTTCTAATTGGGTTGCCTTGTCTCTTTCTTATTGTATGTATGTTGATTCATTAAAGATACGATTTTTATGTTGGATATAATGATTGCAAATAACTTGTATACCGGGGCTTGTTTTTTCACTTTTAATAGATTTTTGTAGATACAAATGTCTTATTCAGAAATTTTATTTTATTTCAAATGTAATGAGGTTTTTCAATAGTACGTATTTTATCACAGATGTTGAATTTTATCAAATGCATTTTTCTGCATAAATGGTGTGATCATATAGTTTTCTCCATTTTTTGTTAATATAATAAAAGTACTGATTTTTCAGTGTTAAAACAAACTTGCATTTCTGGCATATAGCATATTTGGCCATCATGTATCACTCTTGTATATTTTGCTGGTTTGATTTTCTAGTATTTTGTTTTGCATTTTTGTATTCATATTAGTAAAGATATTTCTCTGTAATGTTCTTTCAATGTAATGAACTTGCCAATTTTTGTATCAGAGACATGTTGCTCTCATAAAAGAAATTAAGAAACGTTGCCTCTTTCCTTACTCTTTGAAATAGTGTAATGCTGTGAATATTTATTCTTTTAATGTTTCTTAGCATTTGGAAATGGAGTGATTATGACCTGGAGTTTTCTTTGTGAGATTTGTTTACTTGTTTATCTAATTTCTTTAAAACTTTCAGATTATTTTTATTTTTGTGTTGGTTTAAGAAAGTTATGTTTCTTATGGAATCTGTCTGTTTCTTCAGACTTACTAAGTTATTGACAAAAGTTATAATACCTTCCTCTCTTCTATCAACCTTTTAAGGTGTATAGCAGCTGCAGACATATCCCTTCTTTCATTCTCACTATTGATAATTTGTGACATTTCTCTTTATGTGGGGTAAACAGTCCTTGGAATTTATGATTTTCATTAAGTTTTACAGAACTCAGTTTTGGATTCCTTTACTTTTTTCTGTTTTATGCTTTCTGCTTTGTTGATTCTTATTATTGTGTTCTTTTCCTTTTTTGTTCTTTGGGCATAATGTTCTTTTTCTAGTTTCTGGGATTGGAAGTTTATATTATTTACTTTAAGTGTTTCTTCTTTGTAACCTCTGCTTTTAAAAGGATAAATTTCCACCTATTTCCAATTTTCTATCTGTTCACTACTTTAACTTCACCAATGTATTCTTATGCTTGATTTTGATATACTTTATTTTCAGTAATATTCAATTCTAAATGTTTTCTAATTTCCATCATGATTTCTTTTTGCCCACATGTTTAGTGGTGTTAAATTCCACATATTTGAGCATGTCTTAATCACTTTTTTATTAATGTCTAACTTAATTCCATTGTGATCATAGACTGTATTCTGAATGATTTCAAGCCACTGCAATTCACTAAGAAAAGATTCATTAGCCATTAGATGGCTCCTTACATTGAATGTTCCAAACTTTAAAAGAATGCAAATGTTAAAAGAATGCAGACTATTTAGTTGTGGATAATATTATTCTTTAAACGTCAACTAGATCAAATTGGATAATACATTTTCAAATATTTTATATCCTTATTAATTCTTTTGTCTGCTTGTTCTTTTATTATGTCCAACTAAGAATACTTTTTTATTTTTCCTTTGTGTTTTATCAATTTTTAATTATTGCACTTTGAAGTTACGTTATTTTGTACAAACTTATTTAGGGATGTTTTGTCTTCCTGATGAAGTGAACTTCTGTCATTATGTCACTCTTTGCTCGTACTAACTTTTTGCCATTACATTTATTTTATCTAACACTTCCGTAGTGTTAGATAAATTAGATTTTTTTAATGATTAGAATTTGCCTGGAATATTTTACAAAAATATTTCACTTTAAAGCCATGTTCCTAAAGTGTGTGTGTGTGCATGTGTTTGTCTATAAATAACATATTGATTTTGAAATTTAGTCTGATAATCTTGACTTTAATTGAAATATTAGGTCCATTTCCTTACAGTAATTACAGACATGTTAAGTCTGTCTCTCACCTGTTAGTAGTTTTCTATTATTTTTCTAATCGTTGTCCGGTCTTTTATTTTTACATTCTTCTTTTGGATAATGAAAGCTTCTTTAAATTTAATTTAGCCTAGTCTCTTTAATTTTTAAATATGCTATTTGTTATTTTGGGTTTTTTTAGTGTTCAGAGATTATATTATATATCTTCAACGTATTGTATTCCACATGCCCGTAATAAACAAAGTAAGAATATTGCAATAATTCAATTTAATTTAATTTTTATAGTCACATGTTTTACATATATACATATACATATAATTAATAGGCATTTTTACAGCTGTTCTAGATTCAGAAAAATACCCAGTGGAAAACAGAGTTGTCACATACCCTTAAACCCCTCAACACAGCATCATCAGTATGGTATATTTGTTACAATCCATGAACAGTGTACACAGGACACATCCCTAACAACCAAATCCATAGCTTACATTAGGGTTGGCTCTTTGTGTTGTACATTCTATGGGTTTTGACAAAGGTGTAATGATGTGCGTCTATCATTATAGTGCCAATCAAAATCATTTCCTTGCTCTGTCCTCCACTTATGCATCCCTCGTTTCTCTCTAACACCCTGGCAACCACTAATTTTTTTACTGTTCCAATAATGTTGCCTCTTCCAGAATGTAATAATGGAATCATCAGTAATGTAGCCTTTTCATTTTGGCTCCTTTCACTTAGAAATTTAAGGTTTCTGGCCAGGTGCAGTGGCTCACACCTGTAATTCTAGCACTATGGGAGGCCAAGGTGGGTGGATCACCCTGAGGTCAGGAGTTTGAGACCAGCCTGGCCAACGTGGCAAAACCACATCTACTAAAAACACAAAAATTAACCTGGTGTGGTGGTGGGTGCCTGTAATCTCAGCTACTTGGGAGGTTAAGGCAGGAGAATTGCTTGAATCCAGGAGGCAGAGATTGCAGTAAGCAGAGATCACGCCAGCACTCCAGCCTAGGTGATAGAACAAGACTCCATTTCAAAAGTTCTGAGTCAATCTAATACAAGCATTCTTGCAAGTGGGGTCTTCTGGAGAATGACCAGACAGATTAAATAATGTCAGTTATTTTAGGGTGAGGCTTTCAAAGAGCTCCATGTTTGTTGTGCTTGCTCCAGTGCCTACCAGGCTGCACTAGAAATGCAGGCTGTTCTTTTTCAAGGACATTGTAGATCTGGAGTGTGATAGATAGGACTAGGACAAATTAAAATATCACAAAGTTTACTATTCTTACTGAATTTAACTGTTTGTCTTGAATAAATGTTCTCTGGGTAGCTGCAAGTCTTTGAACTTCCTGACTTACAAAAAGTTTGATCCTGAGAAATTTTGACATTTGCTTATTGCTTATGGAGAAGAGAATTTTCTAAGATTAATATACTGCCATTTCTTTTTTTTTTTTTTTTGAGACGGAGTTTCGCTCTTGTTACCCAGGCTGGAGTGCAATGTACTGCCATTTCTAATGATGCCCTATAGTCATGAAGAACTAACTATTTTTTAAACTCTGTATATATCAGAGCACATAAGAAAGCTGTTCATTATTTTCACCATTATTAAAAGTTGTGTTTCATACACAATTAAATGTGAAGAAATATGAACTTGTATTTTTTGCCTTTCCCTTTTTAGACATATAGTCTTCTTTTTCTAGGTGACAGAGACTCCATATAAAACAAAACAAAACAAACAAAAAAAGACCACAAAATACTCTATAAAAACCACAACCTTGAATAAAATCCATCTTATGCAACACAATACTTCTGTGAGGACATATGCTCAGCATCTGCCTCTCCAACCTTAGACTGGTACCACACTTTTTATCCTTGACCCGAGGATTGTTATCTCAAAACCAAATACTGATAAGATTAATCAATAAAATAATGGAAAGGCACAAATAAGCCATGTCGTAAATGAAAAGGTCATATTAGTTACAAATGTTAAAGAGATTAAAACAGATCACAATAAACAATGAGACAATAAATTGGCAAATTTAGATGAAACAAAAAAGTTCTCAGAAAAACATAACTCACTCAATTGATTCAAACATAAAGAAACAACTGAGTTTTTT